CCCCCGCTCGCCGCAACTAGAGAAAGCCTGTGCGCAGCAACGAGGACCCAACACAGCCAAAAGTAAGTAAATAAATAAATAAATTTAAAAGGTAGGTAGGGCCAGATCCTGGAGTTCTCAGAATTAAGTGTAAACCCATTAGTCATATATCCTGTAGACACGAAGGACTTACAAGATTTTAACCCTGGTTCTTTTGTTAAAACCTATTCCTCTCTTCTTTGGTTCAGTGCTCAATAAAAAGTATTAAATAAGGAACGCCTGGTGCCCATTTTCCCCTGTAGTATCCTGCTACTCTTCTAATGTGCCTTCACATGGATCCTCTTATTAGAGGGAAAAATTGAAGTTCTTAAGGGCTACACAACTGCTAGATATGTAAACTGATAAACTTACAGAGATCTAGTTAATACAAAACTGTTACAATTTGAACTGGAGACAATTTTTCCTTAAAATCACTCTGTTCCCCCCCACCCAATCTCAAAAGAAGTGGAACAGAAAGATATGCCATGAACTAAAATCTAAGGGCACACTGTTTCCTAAGTTCAAACTTAAAAAAGGAAATCCATACAAAATCTGATTATAATGAAAGGAAAATTATAATCTGTCTTGTGGATATATATGCAAAAATTCTAAACAAAATGTTAGCAAATCAGATTCAGTGTTGTATAAAAAGGCTAATAACATCACAACCAAGTTGGACTTATTCCAAGAATGTAAGGTTGGTTTAATAGTTGAAAATCAATCACCATACTTCAGTACATTAACAGAATAAATGAGAAAATTGTGACAACTACAATTGTCTCCAGGCATTGCCAAATGCCCCAGGGAGGGTAAAATCATCCCCAGCTGAGAACCACTGCAATAAATGAAGAAAAAGCCTTTGACAGAGTTCAAAACCCATTCATTATTTTAAAGACAAACACACTTAGCAAACTAGGAATAGAAGACAGCTTTCTTAATCTGATGAAGATCATCTTTTAAAAACCTACAGCAAACACTGTACTTAATGGTGGAATATTGAAAGCTTTCTCCCCAACATTGGGAACAAGATGAAGATGCCACTTCTGTTCAGCTAACTGGAGGACCCTGGTGGTACGATAAGGCAGAATGAAGAAAATGAAAGGCATGAGGAATGGAAAGGAGGAAATAAAAACCTCTCATTTATAGACACCACTGTTTATGTAGAAAACTGAAAAGCACCTACAGATAAACTGTTAGTACTGTGCAGCAAATTTGTTAAATTTGCTTATTTCAAGGTCAGTATATCTTGTATTTCTATAGACCAGAAACATTTAGAAAATGTTCACAGTGATGCCATTTCTAATAGCATCACAAAACATCAAATACCTAAGAGGAGAGATAACAAAATCTGTAAAATCTCTACACTGGAAATTACAAGATATTATTGAGAGAAAATAAAGAACTGGATCAAAGCATATCAAACGTTAGTTCATCAGTATTACCCAGAGGGTCTGTTGAAAGAGACTGAAGGCCCAACCCCTTAAAGTTTCTGATTCAGTAGATCTGAGATGGGGCCCAAGAATTTGTATTTCTAACAAGTTCGCGGGTGCTGCTGCCACTGCTGGGTGAAGAACCACACTTTAAGAGCCACTAATCTAAATAAGTATACCATATGGATAGAAAAAATATTGTGAGACATCAGTTCTACTCAATTTGAAGAACTTCCATGAAGTCCAATCAAAATCCCAGCATGGGTGTGTGTGTGTATTTATGTGTATATGGAAACTGACCAGCTGATACTGGATATAAAAAGGGCCAGCACAGACTTAAAGAACAGCAAAACAGGAGGGCTTCAAACTCGGGACACACTATAATGTTATAATTAAAACAGTGTTTTATCATTGTACAAACAGACAAGTAGACAAATGAACAGAAAAGAGAATCTAGAAACAGATGGACTCATGACCTGTCACCTGATTTACAACCAAGGGGACCTGCAGTGGGGAAACGATAGTCTTTTTTTTTTATTTGGCTGCATTGGGTCTTCGTTGCTGCGCACGGGCTTTTCTCTAGTTGCGGCGAGCAGGGGCTACTCTTTGTTGCAGTGCGCGGGCTTCTCATTGTGGTGGCTTCTCTTGTTGTGGAGCATGGGCTCTAGGCGCGTGGGCTTCAGTAGTTGTGGCACATGGGCTCAGTAGTTGTGCTTCGTGGGCTCTAGAGTGCAGGCTCAGTAGTTGTGGTGCACAGGCTTAGCTGCCCTGAGGCATGTGGGATCTTCCTGGACCAGGGCTCGAACCTGTCTCCCCTGCATTGACAGGCAGATTCTTAACCACTGTGCCACCAGGGAAGTCCCGAAACGATAGTCTTTTCAAGCAGTTTTGCTGGAACAGTTGGGTATCAGTGTAGGAAACAGCAAATTGTGACCTCACACCATACACAAAAGTTCATTCCGATGAATTGCAGCACAAATATGGAAGTTTAAAAACAACCATGCTTTTAGAATAAATAAAAGCAGGTGAACATCTTCATGACCATGGAGTAGGTAGTGGTGTCTTAAATAGGACACAAAAAGCTCTAAAGAAAAGACTGATACATTGTACTACACTAAAATTAAGGACTAGTCACCAGAAGACCCCCATTAACAGAGAGAAAAAGCAAGCCGCTGGGTAGGAAAAAATATTTGCAATAAAAACACCCACAAAGGATTTGTATCAAGTATGCATAAAAGAACTCCTACAAATTATTTCTTTAAAGATAACTTGATAGAAAAATAGGCAAAAGACTTGAACAGGCACTTCATAAGAGGATCTCCAAACAGCCAGTTAAGTATTATGAGGAAAAAAATCTCAACACTGCTGTCTTCTTGGGAATGCACTGAATATCAGAAGGAGATGCTACCACATGCAGGGCCATGCACCAACCAGTGTGTGTTGGTCCAGCCGCTTGGGAGAACTGTTAGGCTATGTCTACCAAAGCAGACACGTATCTTATGACCCAGCAGTTGTATATAGGTATGTATTGCTTCTCTCCCCAGCAATATTCTGTTATTCCTATTTACTGAACCCATGCCGTGGACAGTCCCCTTTTCCTGAGTGGACTTCCTTCAGGATTCAGCTAACATGGCCAAGCTAGTTTGAGAAATTTGCATGTGTTCTTGTGCTAATCATCCCCCAAACAAGTATATACTGTGCCTGAAACTAAAGAAAAGTCTCTAAACCTCTGGACACTGCAGGCTCTGTGATGGGCCTGGATAGGTGGGCATTTGAAGACCTCTCAGATCACGGTATGAAGTGCATTATTCTATACCACATGGACCAACTCATAGTCACCTTTGCTTCCACTATATTTTTTCCTGTTGTTTTATCAAAATTTAGTTTCTTCGTTGAGACTCAAATACTTTTATAAGGTTTATAAAAAGCATTAGTCTTACTTGAACCCCTCCTCCCATTTCCGACTCACTGGAGGCAACGACTTTTAACTCATTCCTGTTTGTTATTTACCTTCATTTTCCCCCACTATTGACATTTTATCCTTTCAGTACTTTTTGTATTTGTGGATGTATGAAGTATGCATATATTGATATTTAAATCAAGGCAACTCTTGCTTATCTGCATTTTTTTTCACTTAACATTATATTCTTTTGAAAACACCATTTAAAATGGCTGTATAATATTCCATCTGTGAATGTGCCCTGATTTGTTCAACCATACCTTTATTGTTGGACATTTTAGGTGGTTTCTCATTTTCTTGCTACCATAAATACTGATATAATTAGTATACCTGTGGGTGTGGGGGCGTGTGTTGCTATAGAGGAATTGACTCACAGATACATGCTTTGTCTCATAACTTTAGTTTTTCCTGTGGTTGATAATTGCTTTGGTTTTATTTGCTTTCTTTGTTCATGTTCTGTGTGGCCCCATGGCTTGCTCTGAACTAGGTTGGTTGTTCACTGCACAGCTGACATCCTGGGGACAGCACTGTTTTCCTGGGGTTCCCTCCACTTTCTCTCATTCTCTCCTATATTCTGGCTCCCAGGTTTTTCTTCTTGGCTCCTCCCTTGTCTAGGGGAACAGCCCTACCTCCACCCCCCTGCAGTAGCTTCCTGAGAAAGGCACGCATGGGAGATCTGCTGGTTAGACCTTGTGTGTCTTAAAAACACCATTATTGGGACTTCCCTTGTGGTGCAGTGGTTAAGAATCCACCTGCCAATAATGCAGGGGACACAAGTTCAAGCCCTGGTCCAGGAAGATCCCAATGCCGCAGAGCAACTGAGCCCATGCACCACAACTACTGAAGCCCACGCGCCTAGAGCCCGTGCTCTGCAACAAGAGAAACCACCGTTAATGAGAAGACCGCACACTGCGACGAAGAGTAGGCCCCGCTCGCCACAACTAGAGAAAGCAGCAATGAGGACCCAACGCAGAGAAAAATTAATTAATTAATTAATTGAAGAAAACCCCACCATTATTCTACTCTAACTTTAACTTGATTATGTACGAATTCTAGTCCTGAATTCATCTGGAATTTTAAAGGAATCACAACATTGTCTTCTGGCTTCCAAAGCTGCTGCTGAGAAGTCTGTTGCTGTTCTGACTCCTGATGTTTTGTTATGTGACCCGTTTTCCACTCTGGGAAGCTTTTAGTATCTTGCCTCGTCTCCCATGGCTGAAATTTCAATGGATGGGCCTTGCCATAGGTCTGTTTTATTCCTGTTCATCAGGTTATTCTCACGACCCTTTGATCTGGAAACTCACATCCTTCTGTTTAAGGACATTTCCTTGAATAATTTTACTTGTTTACTTTGATCATTTCTTCCCCTCTATTTGTCCTCATTCCTCTTTCTGGAACACATTATTCAGATGTTGGCCCTCCCACTCGTATTCTCTAGTTTTCTGTTTAAAAAAATTTTTTTGACTTTTTGTTGTACTTTTCCGGTTTCTCTACTTTATCTCTAGGCTTGTATTTCATTTTTTTTCTGTCATAGTTTTAATTTCTAAGAGCTCTTTTCTGTCTTCTAGTTTTTAAAAATAGCATCAGATTGTTGTTTATGGTTTCAGCCTCTCCTCTGATCCCTCTGAGGATGTTCATGATCATCTTTTTGGAATTTTCACCACTCTGCATAGTTTGTTTCTTGCAAGTTGCCTTTTTTTCCTTCTTATCTTGTTTTGATGTGTCTTTCATGTTAGAGGTTTTTCTCAGCTGCCTGGTGATCATTAGCTGTATGAACACACTTAAGAGCAGAATGTTAAGAAACTGATTAAGAATTCTGTGCTGGGGTTTGTTGACGGTGATTTCACTGGTAGAGTGATCTTGCTGAGCTGTTTCCCTGGGGAGCCCAAGGTGTCCACCTCTTAGCTCTTGGACCATTCACTTCCTCAGAGAAGACCCTTCCAATCCTCTGTCCAGAGGGTCAGTTTGATTCCCTGACTCCCAGTTTTCAGAACGGTTCTTTACCATGAACTTGGCTTGATGCCCCCCGGCTTTACCTTCTTTAAGAATAAACATCTAGTTTTCTGCCTGGGTGACCTGATTGCTTCTGAAAGAGACTCTCGTCCAGTTCTGCTCTTTTCAATGTCATCTTAGGCAGACTTCCAGAACTGCCCAGCACCTCCCCGACGCTGTGCTGAGCCTTGTGAGGGCTCTCCATGCCACCGCAGGTTGATTCCGGCCCCACCCCCAGCTGCTGACTAAGATTCACCTTTCTTGGATTCTCTGAGTCAGTCACCACCTGTCCTTCTGCTGTCTGCCTTCCCTCATGTTGTTGCTATCACCTCATTTCCTATGATATTTGTTTTTGTGATGTGTATCTTTAAAAACAGATAAAGCCCATTTTTGTTTTAGTGAGGTTTCTGGAGGGAGAGGAGATAAATATATGAGTTCACTCCACTGTCTTTAACTAAAGATCCCCCATTGCTATTACGGGGAAACCAAGCACATCTGTTAGCAGTAAGTTGAAAAGACCGCCTCCAAGGAGGTACTGAAGAATTGCTTTCTTGTCATTGACTCATGAGGAACAAAAGTGTCTAAGATCCGTAATCTGCTACACCTTTTGGACAAACTTCTTTCTCATGCAAGTTGAATGGTGAGGGACACACAGGCAGAGGTGCGCCAGCAGGGTTGCCTGGATGGTGCACTCTCCCCAGACGGGAAATTGGAGGATGCCATGAATTCCACCCCAGGCTCTGTATTGATCCCTACATTGTTGTGGGGTGTTTTCCCTTCAGCGAAACCACTGTTGCTTTCATTCCTCATGTCCAAACCTTTTGTACAGGATGATGAGAGCCTGAAGTACCTCACACATGAGGAAAAGGACGTCCTCCTGTTTTTTGAAGAGACGATTGATTCCCTGGAAGACGACTTTGAGGAACAGGTGCTGTGTGATGGTGATGCTCAGTGCCACTCTCCACGGTCTCTGGAAGAGAGCACTTCTGGTCCCTCCGAGCCAGAGGACGCAGTGGACTTAGTGCAGCTGGGCCCTGGAGCCGGGGAACCCGAGAGCCTTCAGGATGTGACGGAGGCAGCAGGTGAGGACCAGAGAACAGGTCCCCCACCTCTGACGTGGCTTGTCGTGTGGTACAAGACACAGAGGCCCTCCTTTCTGTCGTGTTCTCTGTGTCTCCAGCCAGTATAGTAGTTCTTGGGGCTGATCAGATTTTTGTAGGGTAGAAGCATCCTCTTGGTAGTCTGATTGTCCAACTAAATAGGTGCTTTCATGGTATATTAGGATGAAAACACATGGAAGGGAAATTGAAAAAAGAAAACTGGAAATGGCGTCAGGAAACAATCCCATTCTACAAAGAAAATATACAAAGGACTTGTACTTTAGCCTTTGAGGTTCAATCTCAATTCTTGTGCAAGGTTATACCCCTATTCCAAGGTGGGAGTGTTTGAACTGAAAAGTCAGCTGGTTCAGGAAAACAAAAATGATCAGAACAGAAATTCAGCTCAGCATCTGCTTTGTAAAGTTTGCTTGATTCAGGGTGGCATCAGAGGAGAGGTATGCTTTTTGCCCCTTGAGTTCTGTGATAGAACCAGAGGGACATGGACAAGGAGAAAACGTTCTTCCAATTTTTTTTTTTCCTGGTTGGAAAAGATATTGGAAATGTGGACAAGGGGATAAGGATTGGAAAAGATGAGGGAAAAATAGGATGGAAAATATCTTTGCTCTGTTGACTACAAAATACTTCCATTTGTCACAAGCCTGTAGAAATATATCCCCACCCCTTTATTTTTTGTAAGCAAGGCTGTGTATTACACAGAATTTCATGTACTATTGGTTATATGTTCCAAATATGGGGCTGAGTTTGCAGCCATCTCTTCAAAGAAGAGACTTAATATGAACTTCCCCTTTTTATCACTTCTTCTTTGAAGTTTAGTTCCTAAAATTAATTTGAACCACTGATCCCTTAAAAATGTCAGATCATATAATTGTGCCAAGGAAAACATTTCTTTGAAAGTAAGCCACTTGCCCATCAGTTCTCTAACATGATGTTTTCATAACAACTTTAAGTGCCCACTCTGTGGCAGGCATTGTGTGAGATTCTGAGGATACAAAGATAAATATAATACATAGCTCCCAATTTTGCAGCAGACACGGGTGTATAAACACTAGTGCAGAAAAGTGTTAGGTGATCTGTGATCACATATGTTAGGATATAGTAAAGAATCATAGGCTGGTGTATTAAACTGTACTGGAGGCTGTCAGGAAACATTTCTGTTTCAAGAGGAAAGTGACACATCCAATTATCCTTCATCTAGAGAGACCTGAGGGAGGGGTTGGTGGGTACCACAAACTTCCCAGCCTCCATTTCCCCTCTGTAAAATCCCCCATAAGGTAAGCTGTTGTTTCCTCCTGTTACATGTCTCAGGATGATGGCTCCTTAGAAACTTGCATTTACCATATGCTTCCCAGGTACTGACTGTTTCTGGCTTGCACATCTTTCACCACTGCTAATTCATTCTTTCTCGTCAGGTGATTATGAGAATCATATACTATGTTCTCTTTCGCTAGTCCAGGGAATAGGGTAGAGGGAGTTTAGCTTACAAGAGGTACTGTTGAAATTGGTATTGAATCCCTTTGAGACCTTTGTAAATTCAGTGAAAAGGAAACGTGATGCATTTATTTCTGCATATGGTGGTAGCTTATGAGGATCCTTGCTACTTTTCAGGGGCTGGTGCTGTTGGAAAGGAAGACACTCCTGTCCTCAGGAAAGAGGATGCTGAGAAGTCCCCCCCTCCAGACCCCCCAGGTCCCGAGGCCCTGCCCCTGCCGCCTCCCAGCCCTGTCCCCGCAGCAGCCCCGGCCCACCCCAGGAGAGAGCCCCCTCCTACTCCAGCAGAGCACCCCAAACTGGCCCGCTCGGTCCCCACTCCGCTCGTCATCGCCCAGAAGATGTCTGAGAAGCTGGCAGGGAACGAAGGGCTCTCGCCCACATCCCCGTCCAAAGAGGGCAGGCCTGCAGGATGGAGGACGCTGACTTCCGTGGCCCCTCGACACGGAGACCACTCGCTGTGGCACAGGCACGCCGCACAGCCGGCGCCCAAGATCCACCGCTTCCCGAGCAACATCAGCGTGACCAACAGCGCGGGGAAGGACTTCAATAAGACAATCTCCAAGGCCGCGGTCAACGTGCAGGAGCGCAAAGCCCAGGTCCTGGCCAACATCAATGGGGTCTCCTTCCTCTCCATGGGGGAGACGGAGGACCGGGCCCAGAGGAGCGAGCCCACCGAGCAGAGGAGAAGCATCTCCCCGGAGCAGAGCCAGCCGGGCCCGGCCCGGGAGGCTGTTCCCGCGCGGGCAGGGGCGCACGGCGGCCAGCAGTCCAGAGGCGTGCAGACGGAACAGCCCCTGCCGATGGCCAACGGCTTCCAGAGCCTCCACGACATCCTCAAGAGCCATCCCGGGCCCTTTGTCTCTACAGGGAAGACGGTCACCTTCCGTCCAGACCCGGCCCTCCCCAGCAAACTTGCACCCCGGCAGCCGGACTGCGGCCAGGACGCCAGGAAGCGGTCGGGCTCGCTCCCCCGGGCTGTGGGGTTCAGACCCCAGGGCATCACTGTCCAGTTCTCGGGCCGGGGCTCCACGGAGGAGGCCCGTCGGGAGGCCCTGCGGAAGCTCGGCCTCCTGAAGGAGAACTTGTGACGGAGAGTGGGCGGCGCTGGGGGAGTTAGGGTGACCAGGTACGTGTGGCCGATCATGGATGTGTGCATGCGCACAGCACAGTAGCAAAGCCCGGACTGCGGAACCCCGTGGAGGACCAGCGATGGGGGCCCGGGAGTCAGCCGACTGTCTGCCCCGCTCTGGCCCGCATCCGAGCTGGGACATCCTTCCGAACGAGAGCATCCCGCACCACATCTTCCCGTTTCCAAGAGCTCGGAGAATAACCTTGAACACCTACAGGTTTCAATGATTTGTAAATGCCATATGTTTTTTGGATCTAGGAGGAGGGGGATTGGGTCTGAATTTTCTGTTATTGAGTCTCTAATCTAACCTTTTATCCGAAGTGCATGACATGAAAGCCAGTTTAGATCTCTCATACTCGTTTCTCTAAGAAAGGGACCGTCCCCTCCTTTCCAAGAAAATAAAGAAGTGCTTGTTCAATTTTCATAGTGTCTTAAAATACTGTTTTGGTTTTTTGTTTGTTTTTGAAAGGTGAAAGACAGTATGTTAGCCTAAATATGCCTTTGTTTCTTGGTCTAATTTGGTTTGCCCAGATTTTTTTTAATTGAAAATTGAAGCCTTTACAGTATGATTTACTGTAACGTTGAGTTATGGAAGTGGAATGGAAAGGTTGGGTTTGGAAAAGGTGGTAGTTTTAAGAAAGTAAGTCTCATCAGACTACAGAGTCTGTGTTACTGGGAGATATATATATGAGTGTGTACTGCGTATATACATGTACATAATATGTGTTTATAGGTACATATATGTTATATACAGATATAGATGATGTGCACACACACATTCATTATTACATATATATATAAACTTCTTAAAACCCTATTACATAACTACAGGATGCAAGCACTTCCTATTCTTTTGATACACAAGCCATCTCAGTATTGAGATAATGACATAGAAATTGTTACTTCCTAATAAGGAAGTCTTTTAAGGACACATCTCCATAACTTTTCGTTAAACCAAAGTGCTTTTTCCTCAACGTGTTCTGTTCCCAATTAAATAGTCCGAATAAGCTTCCAACTAAGCAAGAGAGTTCCTTTGTTAGTGAAGTATGCTTTTAAAGATGTCATTTATCACCTAATTTTAATTTATCACCTAATTTTAGTTTTGCATGTTCCAAGGTGGCTGGTAAACAGAAGGAAACAAAAGATTCTTAACATCCCCCATGTTCTGTGAGCAAGATCTCAGGATTAATTTAAAAGGGAAAAAACAGCTAACTAAGTTACACAGCATGAAAAGAACTGGTTTTGTCCCAGACAATGTCTTACATGCTGAGTTGTAGCCACAAGCATTATTATCAAAACTATTTCAGGCTGGAGTCTAAAACCTCTTAAAATAGACCCGGAAGGACCACACTTGAAAGTCACACCCTTTTATTGTATGTCTCAGCCACTGTCACAGAATCTGTTTCTTTTCTGTTGAGTATTATTTAAACTCAAACTTCTAAATGTGCTGTGAAGGACGTTTTTCATAGTATTAATTTGCCTTGTAAGTTACATAAAATGATTGTAATGTTTTCCTTAGAACGACAGTATTTAGTGTCTCGCCCAGGCCTTGTCCTCCTGAAATAATCTCATAGATTCTTGATGGTCTTCATTTAAATGGGTGCTTTGATTTTACAGCTTCTTAAAAATAGTCTTTACTTTACTCCTGTTTATGTTGGATTTGTTTAAAGGATTCTTGAGCCCTGTTATTTCCTTTTTATATAGCGAGATGCCATGTTACAGTGTTTAAAAATAGAGGATCTTGATATGGCTAACATTTTAAATATCCCTTGTATTTGAGGATTCTTTCTTTTTTTCTTATCCTATGACTTCGTTGTGATTAAGGTGAACTTGACTATATGTTAGTATATTTGTTCTCATAATGGCATTTTTGAAAAATAAATTTAGAGATCTATCTTAAGTATAAGCAACTTTGTTTTTGCATTTTATACTTATTCTCAGGTATTTTCTTTTAAATGGTTATATCCTTTCCTTCTGTTTATTCATAATCTTTTCTACCTACTTATTCATAATTATACTGACTGTTACTCTGGCCATTTCTTGTGCCCAAAACCCTAGTAATTAAAGCCATATATTTTGTACAAGGTTCAAATTATAGCTGCTAATGAACTAACCTATTTTTGTATGTATCACCTTAACAAAAAAAATTCATTTTCTGAGGGGCATTTGTTTCCTTGCAATAACTCTGTGATAGGATGTTCTTAAAGGGTCATCTTCAAGGGAATCTTAAGGACCATATTTCAAAGCAAACTTGTAACGAAAAGGAAAGATGAATCTTAAGTGCTCAGTTTGTTTTTTTTTTTTTCAAGTGATGCTTGTAAATCAGTCCATTTTAGTCTCCATTAAGATAAAGATGAAACTCTTTACCTTAATACTTAAAATCAGGAAAAAAAATTCTCCTCTGCTTTTAGGCAGGTATGTTCAAATGGCCAAACCACAGTCTCATCTGCAAAGGGTAATGCCCTGCAGTTACCAGGGTAACAGAGTCTGGTCCAGTGCCCTCCTCCTACTCTATTTGGCTAGCGTGCGTGCTTATCTTCACAAAATTGGTAGAAATGTTGATCTTTGCTTTTCTCTCCCCAGGGTCATTCTCCTCTTATAAGGCTTGTGGGGGAGAAAAGGCAGAGGTGCAGGTGTCCCTCCAGCGTCTCTGAGTCTCTCAAGAGTCTCTCAAGACGCAGAGGGCTCCCCCAGAGCTGCGTTCTTGCTCTCTTCCCCCCACCCCCGACTTCAACAATACAGGATTCTTTACTCAGAGTTCCTGATGGGTAGCTCCCAGGGTGGGCTCCCCATCTGAAACAAGTTTTTGCGAAGAGCTTCATGGAGTTGATAAGTCAGGCCTTATGGAACCCTGAGGATTGATTGACCTTTTTATTTGTAAAAAAAAAAAAAAAAATCAGAACTGTATTCTCTGAAATAATGCCATTTGCAGCAACATGGATGGACTTAGAGATTATGATACTAAGTGAAGTAAGTCAGACAAAGACATATACCATATGATATCAGTTAGATGTGGAATCTGAAATATGAAACAAATGAATTCATCTATGAAATAGAAACAGACTCACAGAGAACAGATTTGTGGTTGCCCAGGGGGAGGTGGGGTAGGGGAGGGATGGATTGGGAGTTTGCAATTAGCAGATGCAAACTAGTATATACGGAATGGATAAACACCAAGATCCTACTGTACAGCACAGGGAACTATATTCAATATCCTGTAATAAACCATAATGGAAAAGAAAAATACAAAGAATGGTATTCTTTTTTTACTGAATTCCCACAGTCTGGCTGTGAGGAACTTGACCTTTCAGGGGATTTGATGGTTATGTTTTTTATGCAGATGATCTAAGAAATCAGTTCTTTCTGTTTATTCAAGAGGAATGAAGAGAGAAAAACAAGATAAATATGAAAACAATTTACTCTTATCAAGAAACTTTTTCTGAAACGTTTGTCACCAAGTCAACACGTCCTCTGAAGGAGCAAAGGTAGTTTCTCAGTGTTTTCTTCCCCTCCACCTGTGATCCAGGAGGAAGGGGAGGCGCGTGGGGAATGCTCACCTGTGAGAGGTTTGTGTTTTCATTGAAATGACAAGTCACCAAACAGGTTTTGTTTCTTCTCTTCACAACAAGGCTCTTTTTCCCTGCTTCAAAGTATGGGGAACAAGTTCCCATATCCTTTCCTAATCTACTCGCTGGAAAGGCCCTGCTTTCAATATCTGAGAAAAGAGAAGGCAGGGCTGTCAGCTGCCGAGGCCTGGGAAAGTCGGAGCCCTGCTTGGACCCTGCCAGGGAAAGCCCCGTGCCTCCTGCTCGCTGACCACGTCCTCTCCGGCGCCTGCTGGCCCTCCCCGGCCAGAAGCACCCTCTTCTCTAGAAGAAAAAAAATGCTGTTGGGGAACAAATCCACCTGTTTGCATGAGAAAAGGCTGGGCGACAGGATGATGGCCAAAGGGCACCTCCCATCCCGCTCTTTTCAGCATAAAAACCTTTGAGAGTGATGGTTGCAGTCCTTCTAAAATGTCTGTTGACTCAAAAAAATATAATAAAACTCTTTCCTACACATTCCAAATTCGTAAGACTTCAGAAACGCCAGTCACTGCCGTCACCAGCAGGCTCCCTCTCCCTCCTGCTTATTGTCCTAGTGGGGACACGGATGACCCCCGGAGCCCAGTGAGGCTGCCCCACCAGGTACAAACCTGGCTCTTAATGATGTACTTCAGCCTCGCGTCTTATCCTCTAAACTGCGTGAGCGTACTATTCAACAACAAGGTAAGAGAGGGGTAACGTGGTGGTTTCCAGAAACAACCTGCAGAGCCTGAACGCCAGACAAACCCAGTATTCTCTGACCTGGGTGGGGAGAACCATAAGTCGCCCTAAGGAGCGGGGGGTGCCCAGGGAGTCCTGCGATCCTGGGATGCCCTCTGCCTCCTGATTCCGTGGCAACCCCCTGGATCTGTCTGCCATAGGCCCCCACCAGCCCTCCTGCTTTGGGGGGCACACTAGGGTCTAGGAAGCCACCCTGTCTCCTGGTTGAGTTCAGGGTAGGCGTTGCTGATTCTCACTGCTTCTTCAGGATCCTCGAGGCCAGCTCTTTCCCCAGCTGAGCAGGACTTCTGAAGTTCAGGGAACGTTTTGTAAACCCATCCTCGTTTTGAGGAGCCCCCGGGTTTACTTTCTGGGTGCGGGAGCCCCTAGCTTGGTGGCTTAGGCTCAGGATTCTGTGATGCCCCCCCACCCACGTCTGCCCCACTGCCCGCCCCCAGTAAAGGCGGCCACTGCGATGGCCCGACCAGGGCCAGAGGTAAGAATTCACATTTGGAAGCTGAGGTTAATGGAACTTAGTCATTGATAAACAGGTCACATTTCATAAACTTCAACCTCCGAGTATTTGTGCGTGAAGCAGAGCTGCCAAGGGCAGTAGTAACCTAAGTTCTGGAAATGCCTTTAAGAGGTGGGGCTGAGTCAACAGGGACTCCGTGTGTCCAGGGAGCTGGCAGCTCTGAGCACGTGTGTGCCCGAGGGTTTCTCAGTGGCTGGCTGGCTTCTGCCCTTGGCATACTCTGACGCTTTTGTGCGGCTAGACTCCCTTTGAGTATTGGGACATGCCTAAGAGGCCTGCCCTTGTTACTAAAGATGCTTTCGGGCCTCTGTGGCCTTTAAAGATATTACATAATTCCTCATGGAACCACATCCCTGACAAGTCGCCGTGATGGCTGTGCTACAAGGGTCTCTTCGGCTTCTAACTAGTTCTACTGTGCAACCGTTTCCTGGACCATTTATTCAGTGTCTAAGCATTTTGAATTTGGGAGAAATAACCTCTGTCTTGTGAAGACAAGTTCAAACAGCAGGAAGGTGCAGGGAGGACTGTCCACGCAGGTAACATGGTAGCAGCCGAGGTGCCTCACCTTCCCCGGGCTTGGTTTCCAAACCCAGAGCTCAGGCCACACGTGACCGTGCTCTTCCCAGCTCACGGTCCATGTGTTTGTGAAACTCTGTAAAGCTCTTTGTTTTGTCAGTGCCATCTTAATGGCCAAATGAACTGAATGAAAGTGCTTATAAATGTGAAACAAGTTACCTGAAACTCGTTTTCTTTTTTTGTGAAGCTTAGGAGGTGTCCCAAGTGGTACTGAATGTGACAGACACTGCGGGAGGTGCTAAATATCATCATTTAGTCCTTGTGACCACGGGCCCCTCTCCCCTTCACAAGGGCCTTGTGGGGGCCACAGGGGCTGCCCTAGTTGTGTGGGCTGCAAACCCCCTGCTTCTCGCACCTTCTGTGAAGCCACCCAAGCTGTGCCGGCCAACGCCGTCCACACGCCCAGCCCCCACCTTCCCTTCTCCCGAACACTGTCCTTTTTCGCTCCTTCGGCGCTTCTCCCCTCACTCCCTGGCCTGCCCTCGTGTGTCCGGCTCTCACGATGCTCATCCTGATTTGTACTCTCGTTATGTTTCAGCCCATAGGGCCGGGGCTTGTCTCTGGGGATGAGAGGAGAGATAGGTAAAGCCTGTGTTGTTTGGAAGTCAGGCTTGGTGGAAAGAGCATGCCAGTGGGCTGCGCAGGACTGGAAAGAGGAAAGTAAGGCAGGTGGCGTCCCTGGGCCTCCCGGCCTCCCTGCCAGCCGGGCAGGGGTGCCTTGAATCACCACGTGTGACCTCTGCCTTGGGGGATCAAGTTCAAAGCAGGTCCTTTGGCTGCATCCCTCCTCCTTCTCCCTCCCTCGGGACTTGGTTCTGGAGCCCAGAATTGCCAGGGGTGGTTTCCAACACCCCCGGGCGCAAGACTCCCACGCATGCGGCTGAGTGAGTTCACTGGCGAAACTGCCCATCTGCTCCCTGGCAGTCCTTTGAAGTCATGCTTGTTACTGGAAAGGCAACCAGGCTTCAGGGAAAGTCCAGGACCTGGCTCCACGGGGCTCTGGGCAGGGCGGCTGCCCACACCGGCCTTGGCCTCGCCCCCACAAGAGGCCACGAGCTCAGAGTGGGGAAGCCTCGGTGCCGCTGGGGTTGGACTATTTCACCACCGTAAATTCCCAGCCACACTGCAGTTGGGACACAGCTGCAGCGCGAACTGGTGGTCTCTCTCCAATCGTGTCATAAGTTATGACACTTCTGCCAATACTTGTAAATGGCATTCTTGAAGTTTTTGTCTACATTTTACTGGGATGTGCCTGCTTTCAGAGAATTGAGCGTCTCCTTGCCTTGGGAGGGTCTACACTTCATTTAATAATGTTGCTATTGTTTGTTTTTTGTCAATTTCTTCTAGGAATAAATCCTTTTAGTGACAGTTTGGGCCAGATTTTATAATTGCTCAATTCGATCTTTTAAACCAAAAGTTTTTCTCATCTCAATCATCCACCTCACAGAGTCTTGATTCCTAAAGACCATTGGCTGTTTCTAGAAATCAGAT